TCTTTCCCTTTGTGTTCGTCATTTTGGTTCATTACTGGAAGATGGCCGTTCCGGCCAACAGCCCTCCTCATTTCTTTTTGACTATTTAATTTTATTTATCATTATTATTTTTAAAATATTTTTCTATAGGGCACATGCACTCACCAGAGAGAGAAAGTGAGAAAGCAAGCTGCCAGGTCTGGGACTGGAACCACGGCTGGCCATGTGGGAGTCCAGTGCCTTAACCGGCAGGCCACTCTGCCTGCTCCTGCATTCCCACTCTGGTCCTGGCTCAGGCCTGTGTCCTTTCTCATCAGGACACTGCTGTTATCAACTTAGCACCTAGTCTACTCTCTTGCCCCAAATGGGCACTGAATCATTGTCTTAGACACCTCTGTTGTCTCGCCACCTACAACCCTTAAATATCCACCTCCTCACCTGCCTTTCAGGGCTCTTCAGTTTGTCCCGAACTTCGGACTCATTTCTCGCACACATGGGGTTCACTGAAACTGGACCCTGGTGCCTTACTTAGGCCCCAGCTCAACTTTCCCCTCCTTTTTTTTTCCCCCCTGTGGAAGTCTTGTGAATCCCTCCTCCGCGAATCCACACAGTGTAAAGACCATTCATTTTAGACCCAGGTGGACTTGGGTTCGGATTCTGGCTCTTTGGGGAGATGTCATTTCATCTTTCAGCGATTCAAATTCTTTCACCTGTGCAGTAAAGACAAAACCCCCTACCCTGCACGACAGTTGGGAGGATTAGGGGCAATGGGATTCCACAGGCACTAAAGAAAATGATGATCTCGGTGCCCTACCAGACTGGCGCCCTGGCTATACCCGGGCTGCACGGCGCCGCCAGCAGGCTGCGGACCGACTGCCTGGACCACTTCACCGCAAGCCCGCTGCGGGCGGGTTCGTATTCCGCTCCGGATCGCCTGGCCCTGGGCGCCCGGTGCCTGCAGAGACCGAGAAGGAAACAGGGGCTGACGAGAACAGGAGCAGTCAGACCGAGAGCCGAACCACGCACGACACGACGCGCTGGCAGACTCCCCAGCCCGGGCCTGGGGCACACTGGGCGGAGTCCGGGCCGGACACGGGGCGGGGCCCGGGCTGGGGCGGGGCGGGGCTTCCGCGTGCCGCCCCAGTCCGTCCCCGAATTCGCTCCGCGGCGCAGTCCGGGCGCGGCAAGGTCCCGGCGCTGCAACCTGGGTTTGATTTTTTTACGGGGTTGGCCGCCGCGCAGAGCCGACATGCGCCGGCTGCTCGGCCTCCTCCTGGTCTTCGCCGGGTGCACCTTCGCCCTGTACTTGCTGTCGACGCGGCTGCCCCGCGGGCCGAGCCTGGGCTCCTCCGAGACCGGAGACAGGTGCATGACTGGGGCGGCGGAGATTGGGGTTCGGGTGCACGGGGAATGGGAGTTTCGGGTTCCCGCATCCGAGGCGTCGCGGGTCGGGATAGGAGGGTCCGCAGTGGGGACGGAAGGAGGAAGGTGGACAGGGTAGGAGGAGTTGAATTGGTAGAACCTGTCACTGATTAGATGTGGGAAAGGACAAAGACCCGACCTCGGAGTTTGGGCCACACGCTTCGTACAGGCGGGGGGGGTGGGAGGCTTGGCCGAGCCGCGATTTGCTGGGGACGCGCGGCGTCTTACCCGGGCAGAGCCTGCCCGCACACCTCGGGTCGCGTGGGACATCGCCTTCGCCCGGACCCCTGAGCCGGCTTTCCCGCCGACCTTCGCCCCTGCGTGCACCCAGCCCCCTCTCGCCTCCTCTCAGTCCCCTACCCCTCCCTCCATCACTCCACTTCAGCCTGGTCTGCCCTTGGGACTTTAAGACGTCAGTTCTCTAGAAGACCATGTCATGGACTTTAAATTATTCACGAATTAATGATCGAGCCTGCCCCTTTTTCTGGCTCTCTCTACTTTTCTCCTTCTCATGAAGGGCCGGACGAGGCAGGAGGCAGAATACCTGCCTGGTCTTGTTTTGTGAATGCTGCGTACTGTGTGTAAAGTGCATGGAGGTGTGCTTGGCACAGAATGGCGTTGTCGAGAAATGTACTGCCATTTAAATATTAGGACAACAGTGTTCAGTCCCTGTGTTTTTTTTTTTTTTTTTTTTTTTGGAGAGGTTTTCGCTATAGGGTGCGTGCGCTCGCCAGAGACATAGAGACAGAAAGTGAGAAATCACCCCTCAGGGGGGTGGTCACGCTGCAATCCCTTCTCCTCCATTCTCCTCTCAGGATCTTGGGCACGCACGCACACGCGCCCGGCGTGAGTTTTAAGCCACCGGGTCTGGGGTAAGAACCATGGTCAACTACGTGGGAGTCCAGCAACATAGCCATTATGCTAACTGCTGGTTCCTGGGAATCTTTTTTTTTTTTAATATAATTTTGTCTCAGTTTTTTTTTTAAAGAATTATTTATTTAATTCCATTTGTATTATATTATTTTTTAATTTGACCAGAGAAAGAGAGAGAGAAAAGGAGGGCAAGAAAGCAAGCCAGTACGGGACTTGAACTGCTGTGGGCCCTGCAGGGATCCTCAACCACTGCCACCTGCTGGCCCCCTGGAGGATCTTTAATAGCTTTAGTGAATGATAAAACCTGGCTTTGCCTGGTAATTCAGGAGTTGTGTGAGGTCTGAATTGTTTGGCTTGTTGGGTGGGAGGCATCCTTGAAGGGCCATCTTTTGTACTTGCCTGGGAACAAACATATTTGGCTCTTAAAAATCGATCATAAGGGACCAGCAGATGGCATTATGGCTGTCACTGGACTCCCATGTTGTCCACCATGGTTCAAGTCCCAGACCCGGTGGCTTAAACTCACACTGGGCACGTGTGCGTGCATGCCCAAGATCCCGAGAGGAGAATGGAGGAGAGGGGATTGCGGTGTGGCCATCCCCCCGGGGGGTGATTTCTTGCTTTCTGTCTCTGTCTCTCTGTCTCTGTCTTTCTGGTGAGTGCACATGCCCTATAGCAAAAACCTCTCCAAAAAAACCAAAAAATCCATCAAGTCTGAATGCTAAAGGAGAACTGTAGTGATTACCCAGCACTAACTCCTTCTCGTTTAGACAAAGACACTGAGGCCCAGGGACTAGCTAGGGTCACACACCTGGTAGTAGCCAAGTTGGGGGAGGTGCCAGCCAGGTCTCGTTCTTAGCCACCGGCTCAGTCTGGACTCGTTTCCATCTGCTTTCTCCTAGGTCGCTGTGGTTCCCGTCAGACCTGGCCGAGCTGCGGGAGCTCTCTGAGGTCCTGCGCGAGTACCGGAAGGAGCACCAGGCCTCTGTGTTCCTGCTCTTCTGCAGTGCCTACCTCTACAAACAGGCCTTTGCCATCCCTGGCTCCAGCCTCCTGGTCAGTGTCCTGCTTCCTTCCCAACCTCCTTTATCTGCGGTGTGGAAACCCAGCACAGCTCATGGGGTTGCTGTGCGGAGGGTTAGACAGAGCAGTGAGCGTCAAGGTGCCCGCTCGCCTTGGCCCTCGGCATTTCCCGATTGCGTATGGGATCAGGACCCTGAGGCTGCTTTCTCCTGCTGCTCTTTCCTGCCCTAGCATTTCTTCTCCACTCCAGGCTCAGGCTGCATCTGCTCATGAAGTGTCTTTGTTGGAAACTGGAAGAAAAGCAAATGTGTCCAAGAAAGGTGCAGGGGAGAGGCGTGATGCTTGCAGTCAGGACTCACTGCCTGGGCCTGCCCCGTCTCTGTTCTTCCCCTTGAGCAATCCCTCTGCAGAGCAGAGAGCCAGCTGCTACTTGGGGGCTCTCCACCAGATCGGGAGGCGAATCCCGGCCCTGCAGATGATCTTGGACAAGATACTTAATCTCTCACGCCCAACACGCAGTGCGGACAGTGTAGACACGGGGGTGGGAGGGCACAGGAGCGTGAAGGGCTTAGCATGCAGTATTCCTCAGCAGATCGCCTCACTTCCAATGCTCGCTTTTTTTCTGTCTTGCCAGAGAGACAGACAGAGACAGAGACAGAGCCAGACAGACAGAAAACACCCCCACGCCGCAGTCCTTTTTCTTCCATTTCCTCCATTTCTCCATCCTGTCAAGATCTGGGTCTGGCGTGTTTTTCAAGCTGCCAGGGCTGGGATTCAAACTGCTGTCAACCAGGTGGGACCAGTTCCCTGTACATAGCACTCAACCACTGTGCTATGGGGCTGGCCCCACCATGGCTCTTGAGCTGTCTCTCTCGGATCCCATGTTTTGGCAGGTTGACGCCTACCAGACAGACTGCCTTTGGGAAGTACTGGTTCATGTTTAAGTTTTGATAAGCTGAGACTCTAAGTGCCAGCTCGGTTAACATAGAACCCCTAGTCTCAGCGTTCCTCACAGAGTTCCAGCAGAGCCGAGACGAGGCATCTTAGATAGCTCACGAGGTCCGTTTCTGTTTACGTTCATTTATTTATCCCGTGAGTAAGAGAGACAGAGGGAGAGACAGAGATAGCACCACCAGCAGGGTCCCGAGGTCAGACCCCCGCCCCAGCCAGCCTTGGATCATGTCCCGGCCCCCTCAGAGGTCTCTGGGCATGAACCCAGCCCCTCGCCGTGTGGTGTACCTCTTCCACCGCCAGGTCCCAGCTGGTGCAGTCTCGCTGAGGGGTATTCGTGGTTTGTGTCCGTCCTTCGGGGTGGGGAAGAGAATGTGCAGGTTTCGCTTCCGCCTTCATGGAGCCCGGCAGACACAGCTTCGCCACAGCGTGCAGCAGGCTGGGTGCCGCATACACGTTACTCCACTTCAGTTCTCTCCTGCCCTCTGAGGCTTTGATGCCTGCCCCATTTCAGAGGTGAAGAGACTGAGGCCGGGGTGACCATTGCTTCTCATTCACCTCTTTAAAATGGGAGCTGGGGGCCACGTGGTGGTGCCACAGTAACAGGGTGCTCTGTGAAACTGGCCCACGGGGTAAGGTCCTGGGTTTGTGACCAGACGCCTCCCTGAACGCTTGGTGCTCGTGCGTCCCCACATCCAGGGCTGGCTGAGAGGCAGGGTGGCTCGAGGCATGGCGGCCCTGCAGAGGGTGTCTGTTCGTCTGTCTCGCTTATGGAAAGAAATGCATAAGTAAAACAAAACGATAAAACAAACCAGGTGTTGAATTTTGGCTGTGGAGACCACTGGAAGGGGAAGGAAGCCAGGCCTCCCAGGCTTCAGGATGAGGTGACGCGAAGCTGCCCCATGTCCTCACGGCTGAGGTCTGTTTTCCTTGCAGAATGTTCTAGCTGGCGCCTTGTTCGGGCCCTGGCTGGGGCTTCTGCTGTGCTGCGTGTTGACCTCGGCGGGCGCCACGTGCTGCTACCTGCTCTCCAGTGTTTTTGGTAAACAGCTGGTGTCCTCCTACTTTCCCGACAAAGTGACCCTGCTGCAGAGGAAGGTAAGGGGGGACACCCAAGTGCCAGGCCCTGGAGAGTCACGCCCAGTCCTGAGGAGAGGGCAGGAGGGCTGTCGCACAGCGCTCTTCCATCCTGCCTTGAGAGGCTCGAGGTTCTCTGGATGTCTTCAGAAGGCATAGACGTGGGGTCGAATCCCAGCCCCATCATTACCAGTTTTGTGACTTCGGGCAAGTTCCCGGCTTCCTGGTCCTCGGGTACCTCCGTTTTTAAATTGGGGAAAAGCCAATTGGACAAGTCGGGAGTGTATCGTGTCTAGAACAGCGCCTGGCACCTGCAGGTGTGACTAGCCGGAGACCCTTTCTGCTGCTTAACTGCCCTGTGCTCTTTGGCTACAGGTGGAGGAGAACAGAAACAGCTTGTTTTTCTTTTTACTGTTTTTGAGACTTTTCCCCATGACACCCAACTGGTTCTTGAACCTCTCGGCCCCGATCCTGAACATCCCCATCGTGCAGTTCTTCTTCTCGGTTCTTATCGGTGAGTTCCAGTCTAGCGCTGCCGTGGTGCAGGGCTGCAGTGGGTGCGCAGCCCCTGGGGACACAAGCGCACAAAGAGCCTGTCTCGACCTTAGGACCTAAAGTAACCTGCCCTGGTTTCAGATCTACTCAGGCCTGAACGTGAACGCGCTCGGGGGCAGAGAAGGGTGGTATGTAGCACCTGCTGTGTGCCAAGCGCTATGCTAGGCACCGGGGTCATCAGGGAGCGTCTCTGTAAGCACACGGGGTGGCCTGTAGTAGGTGCTCGCCCGTAGCAGGTGCCCAGTGACTGCTGCAGGATGCACACGGCTGGAGTGAGGGTGTGTAGCCGGGAGGTTTGGGTGGGAGTGGCAGGAGGGAGCAGAGCCTGGGTCTTCCTGTTTGACGTTGGCCCCTGCTTAGGTTAAGCTCCGTCTTCAGAGAGCCGGCATCCACGCGGTTCCTTCTTGCCCTTGCACAGTTGCATGACCTTCAGCCAGTCGCTCACCCTCAGTGGCTGCTTCGCCAGAGGAGGGGCTGGGAACAGAGCAGTGTCGTTCCGAGCGTGGGCCTCAGCCACCGTTATCAGAATGGCAGGGTCAGGGGTGTGTCGAGTCTAGACTCGGGGCCTACCATAGATATCACTTGGAAGTGGTATCTGGGAATATGCTTTTAATCTCACTCTTTGTCAGTGACTGTCAAACTTTGCTATCTATTCTTTTTTTTTTTTTTTAAATAATTATTTATTATTTTTTATTTTGACCACAGAGGGAAAGTGAGAAAGCAAGCTGCCAGGTCCGGGACTCGAACTGTGGTTGGCCATGTGGGAGTCCAGTGCCTTAACCCTCCATGCTACCCGTCCCTTTTTTTGCTATAGGGTGCACATGCTTGCTGGACAGGCAGAGAGAGAAAGACAGAAAATGAGAAATCTCCCCTCAGCGGGGATAGCCACGCGCAGTTCCTTCTCTTCCATTCTCCTCTTGGGATCTTGGGCACGCACGCACATGTGCCCACTGTGAGCTTAAGCTTCCAAGTCTGGGACTTGAACTGTGGTCCACTACGTCAGAGTCCAGTGATGTAACCATTACTCCATCTGCTGGTCCCATGGGTCACCATCTTTTGATGTTTTCCAGGTGATGCACATGTTCAGTAGGAGTAGTTCCTAGGAGGGATTCTGCTGGATCCCGAGTTCTGCAGTTGTGGAATTAGATTTTCTTTCTTTCTTTCCTTCCTTCCTTCCTTTCTTTCTTCCTTTCTTTCAAGATTTTGGCCATAGGGCATGTGCACTTGCTGAAGAGAGAAAGTGAAAAAGCACCCTTCGGGGGGGATGGCTGTGACATAATCCCTTCTCCTCCATTCTCTTCTTGGGATTTGGGCATGCGTGAACACATACATGGTGTGATTTTTCAAGCTGCCGGGTCTGAGACGCGGACTGAGTTGACCATGTGGCCTTAACCACCATGCTATCTGCTGGCCCCATAGTTAGATGATTTCTTTAGTCTTTCCCTGCCTTTGACAATTGTACGAGCACCAGCAAGCTGCTCACCCCACCTCGAGCCACACAGCCGCCCCAGAACCTGAGCAGGTTTCTCAAAGTGTGGGTCTTGGACACCCGGTCAGAAAAGTGTTCACATCCCGTAAAATCAGTGAGTACTGCTTTCTCTGTGCAGGAAATAAACCACCCTCCTTAAGCCAAGGGTCGTCTTCTCTGAAACCCTTCGGGTGTGGCGGGAAAGGTGATACGGGGTGTCTGGGTCTAATAGCTGCTATTAATAGGGAACGCCTGGGAGGAACTGAGGTCTTAAACAAGATCCACCACAATGAGTTCTGGCCACATGGCTTTCAGCCAGAGAGCCTGAGCACCTCAGCTAGCAGGGGCTGGCAGCTTGTCAGTACCCGGGAGGCAGGAGGCTTGGTTCGATGCTGGAGCCCGGAGTTCCTGTCCTTCATAAGCCGTGTGACCCTGAGTAGGAGTGGGTCATGTATTGTCCTTGATCTTTACCTGTTCTGAATTCCTCCTGCAGAAGAGGAATCGCTTGTCAGAGAATGCCGCTCAGGATCTGGGGGTTGGGGTGGGAAGATGCTTTTCAGGTTTTGGGGACGGCAGGTGGTGCGGTGGTTGAGGCATTGGACTCCCCCATGGCTGTCCATGGTAAGTCCTGGAGCTGGTAGCTTGCTTCCTCACCCCCCACCCCACCCCCACCCCCGGTCTGGTGAACACATGTGCCCTGTAGCAAATTTAAAAGTAATAATGATAAAATTAAATCATTCTTAGAAAAAAATACGGGCTTTTGGGGCCAGCAGATGGTGTGACCATGGCATAATGGTTATATCATTGGACTTCCCCAGCCGTGGTTTGAGTCCCAGACTCAGCGACTTAAAACTCGATGCCAGGCATGTGTGCGTGCCAAGAGGAGAAGAAGGGATCGTGTCGTGGCCCTCTCCCCTTGGGTGATTTCTTGCTTTCTGTCTCTGCCTCTCCGGCGAGCACACACACCCCATAATAAAAATCTGTTAAAAAAAAAAAAAATCAGATTCTTGGTCTCTACTCCAGAACCAAGTAAGCAGAATCTCAGGGGATGGTTTTTTTGTTTTGTTTTGTTTTGTTTTTAAGAGGTTTTTGCTATAGGGCGCGTGCGTTCGCCAGAGACAGAGAGAGACAGAGAGACAGAAAGTGAGAAATCACCCCCCCCAGGGGGGAGGGCCACACAGCAATCTCTTCTCCTCTCGGGATCTTGGGCACGCACACACACGCCCTTGGTGTGAGTTTAAGCCACCAGGTCTGGGACTCGAACCGTAGTCGACTACATTGGAGTCCAGTGACAACCATTACACCAACTACTGGTTCCCAGGGGGATGTTTTTAACAACTTCATTAGGGGATTGTGCTGCATCTAGCTGTCCAGCCACCAGCCAGACTTGGGACCCAGCGGGTTCGGTGTCCTAGTAGAGGCAGTAAGGAATGCGGACAGACTGTGGCCCTCATAGTGACGGTGCTTCCTTCCCCTTGGCGGGCACTCAGGCAGATTCGGCCCGGCCGTCGGCGGACCTTGTGCCTTCGTGCTAACTGCACTCCCTGCTTCGTTCCTCTGCACTCATTTCTGTCTTCGCTGTTACAGAATTTTATCGTACTGTGCAGTGTGTGCATCTTTGTAAACCATCTCAGTTCTTTCACTGAACAAGGCAGGTGTTCCTGAGGAGTGTGGAGAGGAGGGAGAGGAGGAAGGAGGCAAGAAGGGAAGGAGGTACAAACACGCAGAGGTCAGGAATCCCTGTCCCGAGCTCCTGATGACATCGGAAGGTTCCCGAGTTTCCTAGCTCCAGTAACAAGCCTTTTCTCCCCTTCCTCCAGGTTTGATCCCTTACAATTTCATCTGTGTGCAGACGGGCTCCATCCTGTCTACTCTGACCTCCCTGGATGCTCTTTTCTCCTGGGAAACTGTCTTTAAGCTGTTGGCCATGGCCCTGGTGGCCTTAGTTCCTGGAACTCTCATTAAAACGTTTAGCCAGAAACACCTACAACTGAACGAAACAAGCAAGGCTCGTCATGGCAGGAGCAGAAAAGACACGTGATTCGGGCTGTCTGCCACCGCCCTGGCCCCACTGCTCATCCGTGTGATGGCGTGGCCCCCAGCCCCCTCATTGTGTTTTAGCTACCCTCAGCAGGTCATTTGGACACTCCATCTCTGTGCAGAGTCTCGTCATAAAGGACATTCTGTCCCTAGAAGGTGACTTACGTCAGGTTCTCAAACCAGCCCTGGTTTAGCAGGACGCTCTGCAACATGGATGGCCTCTTAGGAAATCCTGCTGATATTTTAGTGAACAATTAGGAACTCAAAAGATAATCTGTTGTAACCGCCTCTTGCCAGTCGCTGCCCTGCCTTGGGAGAAGATGCTGACTGGCTTTGTCCGGAGTGCCTGTCTTGCCGTGTTCCTAAGTCCCGTGGGTGGTGTTTTACCCGTGTTGCATGTGAGCCCACAGCCCTGACAGCGCCCGTCACCTGTGAGTCTCCTGAAGAGCATCTCTTCTGTCCTCTCCTGCCAATGACCTACCTCTTCCTAAGCCAAAGGAAACACAGTGCAGACTGACTGCCTAGGACTTCCACGTCCGGCCCAAGTGCAGTGCTTTCTGATGCTCCTGTGCTCGGACGCACCGATGCCACCGTGCTGGGCAGACCTCACGGCGGCATGTCTGGGCAATGAAGCTGACTGCAGACAGACTACTAAGTGTGAATGGAGCAAATTCTGTATGCTGTGGATATGTCCTGGAGAAATCCTTACCCATCTGGGCGGGGCAGGACCCTTGACTCACCTGAACCAAATGATGCTACTCTTTGTGAGAAGCCCTTCCGTACTGTCCCACTAGGAGGGTGGATTCAGTCCACTAGGCTGTCAGCCAGTGTACTCTCTGAGCGTTTTTGATTTTGTCACTTGCTGAGAATAATTGAAGAAGAATTCTATTTTCTAATTCATAGGGGAAAACTTGGTTTCTGGTTACTTTGTTGCATTGTACCCTAATTCCCTAAAGCGGCATTGCTTCCTACAGCTGCAGTATTATATAACACAGACCTGGATCACTGTGTCCGAGGACGGTTGGACTGTGGCACCTAAGCTGCCCAGCTCTGTGTCCCTGGGTGCCGCGGGAGTAGCTCATAACGACCAGAACTGCTGCTCCACCTCAGCTGCTGGGTGTCTGGCTTCGCCAGGAGCCTTGCCAAGGTTCCATCTAGGCCCCTCCTTCTACATGGGTGCTTGTGAACACTCATGTTCTAAGGAAGAATGGATTTCCAAGGAGAGTTTTTGGACATGACATGATTTTCTCACACCAAGGATCTTAAAGAAGCTTTGATAGCCAGAGGGGGTGAGGAGGAGGCAGAGTGGACTTTGGGATCCATGGCACTTCGTGTGCAGGGGTGGGGCAAGGGAAGGAGGAGCAGGGCAGTGCCACAGCTCGGCAAGGATGTGCCCTTTGCTCCCCCCCCCACCCCCCCTGCGCACCTTATCAGTTGCAAGTTCGCAGGCAGAGCAAGCGAATCAATGGGTGTAAATAAACGGAGACAAACTGCGGCTGTGGCGCCTGAGCGTCCGTGCTGCTCGCTTACAGCTGCCCTCGCCGATGGGACTCAGGATTGGCTGAAGATCAGACAATCCAAAGTGGCGCTTTAGCTTTCCACTCGCAGTGGGCTTCTTACCGAAAGGGTTCCAGACCCTCAGTGTCCTCTCGTTCCCCTCTGTGCTCACGTTATAGTGTGCCACTAATAACAGGAGCAGCTCTGGGGACAGCAGGGGCGCGCAGGGAAGCAACAGCACCTGCTTCGGCTCTGGCAGAATACTCAAGAGGGGACCAGCAGTTGGCATAATGGTTATGTTGCTGAACTCCCACATAGTCGACCATAGTTTGAGTCCCAGACCCAGCAGCTTAAAACTCACCCAACATGCATGTGTGTGCATGCCCGAAATCCCGAGAGAAGAACCAAGAAGGGGACTGCAGTGTGACCATCCCCCTGGGGGCGATTTCTCACTTTCTGTTTCTGTCTGGTGAGCGTATGCGCCCTATAGCAAAAATCTCTCTAAAAAGAAAGAAAGAAAAAATACTCGGGACCAGCAGGTGGTGTGGTAGTTAAGGCGCTGGACACTCCCATATGGTGCAAGTCCTGGACCTGGTGGTTTGCTTTTTCACTTTTTTTCTCTCTCTCTGGTCAAAAAAAAAAAAAAAAGAATAAATAAAACTAAATAATTATTTTAAAAATACTCAAGAAGGGGCTGGAACCAATGGGGAGAATGGCTGTCCTTTTGGGGCTGGGCAGCCTGCTCTTCTCGCACCTGTTCTGGGTGCAGGAATCCCAGTCGTGTGAAGTCTTCCTTTTGTGTAAATTGACACATGTGAAGACGTAAGGCAGCTCCCAGGACAGAGACAGTACCTTTAGGAAAAGACAGGATCAGAAACCTGAGGTACACTTGGTTCTAATTCCATGCAGTTCTTTGATAGTCACTCTTGTTCTGTCGCTGTTCGGTACAGAGGGAGCCCGCATCGGAAAGTAACACGGAGCAGGGGACGCACAGTGCAGACCACAAAGGAAAAGGAGGGGGTTCATTTTGAGAGTTGGCCACAAAAAGGAAATTGATTTGCTCCAAATTGATAGGAACTCAAATGATCAAACAATCCAAGAGGGCCTCCCCACTTCCAGACCTGAGAAGCGGTCACTCGGTGTGGGGAATCGCCTGGGTGCGAAGATCAATAGAGACATCTTCCCAGTAGCTTGCACATGCTGGCTGGGGTTCCGGCTGGCCCAGAACCATTGGAGAACCCTGTCTCTGGGTCACGTGATCCCGAGTGCTGGGAAGTGGCTCTGGAGGGCAGGCCTGGGATTCTGCCCGAAGCTTCCTTGAGTGGCCTTGCCATCTGCTCAGGGTTTGGCCCTAGTGTGAAATCCTGCCATTGTGCCTGGCCACATGACAGCTAACAAAGCCTTAACCCAGCTCTTTTGGGTAACCCCGGTTCTTAGAACAATGATTTTCGAGCTCTCCTCTCCTGCCACCTGTCCCTGAGAAATGCTCCAGGTTCCACAAGGGCCCACTTAGCCTAGCTCATTCCAATCCGAACAGGCATTTGAGTACCAGCTGTACCATGCAAACAAGCAGGCTAACATGACGGACGTGCCAGTCTGTGAGGTTGGTAACACTGGTGGCGAGTATACTGGGCCATTTGTTCTGTGAAACTGGCAAGGAAAAAATCTTGCTGCCTGAGAAGGCAGTAAATTCATCCCGACAGTACACATTCAAGTCTTGAGAAGACCGCCACATCGTTCTGGTGCGCGTCTTACAGAGTCGAAGAGGCAAGTAACTGGGACTTAACACATCAACTCCGTTCACAGGAGGTGAGGGAGGAACGTGCTCGTACGACACAAATGAAGGATGGGAATGAAGACACGGAATATGCCCCAGCAGCTGGTGATTCAGCTGGGCTGTGGTCCAGAAGGGCAGTGGTAGAGGCAAGTGGCCATTTCACTGTCCATCATACTCCCCTACCAGCCCTGCGTGGGACCCACTGGGACGCTAATGCCACCCTGCCATTCTCCCGTCATGGCCAACTCAAGACCTCGAACCACCTTTTGGAAATTATTGATAGTTACGGGCTTAGACTGGGATGGCAGACAAAATGTCCCTCCCATGCCGATTTTCAGTCAGGCGGTCATCACTGCTACAAGTCCTGTGCTAAGGAGCTCCAGCTCCATCAGCAGGAGGGAATCTGGCGCTCTCAAAACCACGTGAGTCTTGGGTGTTTACGATGGAGATGGTTTGTGGCGGTATTCTGGCATCTGCCTCGGTGGAAAAGGAAAAACAGCATGCACTGTGCTGTGGGGCTGGAAGGGATTCTTGGGTCCCAGACGCTATGTTCTGAAGATTCAGTTTCAGAAAGTTCCAGTAGGAGTGTTTTTAAGACAAGGTAAAACTCAGACATAAAAGCATGGGGAAAAAAAAAAAAGAGTAAAGCGTCTGATCAAAAAGGACACATTTAGGGGACCAGTTAGCGTAATGGCTATGTCGCTGGACTCCCACGTAGTCGAACACAGTTCGCATCCCGAACCCGGTGGCTTAAAACACGTCGGGTGCATGTGCGTGCGTGCCCAAGATCCCGAGAGGAGAATGGAGGAGAAGGGATTGCGGTGTGGCAGAAGGGGGGGGAGGGGTGGGGGGGTGGGCCCCCCCCCCGGGGGGGGATTTAAAAAAAAAAAAAAAAAAAAAGGACACATTTACACTGAGGATGTTAGTGCTCCACAGCGGGGAGGGCGTTAAAATTGTACGGATTGTTGGGCCAGCAGGTGGCACAGAGGTTAATGCAGCTGGATCCCACATGGCCAGCTAGGTAGTTGAGTCCCGGTCCCAGGGCTTGAAAAACACCCTGGGTGTCATTCCCCACTGAGGTGTCTCTGTCTCTCTCTCTCTGTCTTTGGTGAGCACACGTGTGCTATGGCAAAAACTTCTCAAAACAAAAACAAAAAAACGAACAAAAACACACCGGGTGTGTGCATGCCCAAAATCCTGAGAGGAGAATGAGAGGAGGTTGCAGCGTGGCCACCCGCCCTGGGGAGTGATTTCTCACTTTCTCTCGCTGTAACTCTGTCTCTCTGCAAATGCACATACCGTATAGTGAAACACACACACATGTATGTGTTGGTGCCCGGAAACCCAAACCATCAGTCTCTTACTTGTGGTAGGAGAGGGGAGTAATTTAGCACAATGAGGCCCTGTGCATTGCTTGTTAAATTCCTCTAAAAATGTCCTTAAGGATGGATATGTTGATACTAAAGTTTTTAAACATCTGAACTTGAAGTAGGGCATACCAAATCATCTTAAACAGGGCTGGTATTTTATCTGAGCAGGCGCTCCCCCACAATCTGGCAAACAGGTCTAAACTTCAGTGGTGGTAAACGCTATTATGATTTCTAAGTGGATGTAGGCATCCCAGTCCCCCTGCTACGCAATTTTCAGAGGAATTGCTATTTAGAGGACTTGATCTAGAAAGAGATGGAAATCAGAAGCAAATGCTCATCTGCAACACTAATTAAACTCCTCTTGCAGTCAGTCAAAAACAGATGCTAAATGAATGTGGACATTTATCCCAGGGGGATTCACCTTACAGTCAACGATGAAGCTTGAAATCACAGTCTCGTGAGGGTCTTTGAAGTATTCCTGCAGTCTTCAGACGAATTAGCTCTTGAATTTCCTTGATTCAACACTTTCCAGATGAGGACTGTGGCATTGTTCTCAAAGAAACACATCATTTCAATCGACATTTTCCTGGTTAAAGCGTATGGCTGGGATAGAGAAGGCACCACTTTAACCTTAACTAAGGACAGTGTTCCCTGAAACCTCTAGCCAATTTTTTTTGAGAGTTTTTTTTTGTTTCTTTTTTTTTTTTTTTTTTGCTATAGGGCGTGTGTGCTCACCAGACAGACAGAGACAGACAGAAAGTAAGAAATCACCCCCCGGGGGGATGGCCACGCCGCAATCCCTTCTCCTCCATTCTCCTCTCAGGATCTTGGGCATGCATGCACACGCACCGAGCGTGAGTTTTAAGCCACTGGGTCCAGGATGCAAACTGCAGTCGACTATGTGGGAGTCCAGCGACATAGCCATTATGCTAACTGCTGATCCCAACCTCTAGTCAATTCTACAAAAAAAGGAAAAAAAAAAAAGAAGGGTTTGATGTGGACTTTATTCAGTTCTTAGCACTACCCTAATATGCTCATCAC